TGAGGTTTTGTGGGGAACATCTAGATATAAAACATAACAAAATTATACCATCTTTTGGAATTTAGATGGTCTGAGAGGCATATGCTTGTAATCTTAGCACTTGGGAGGCTGAGACAGGAAGATTGCTGCAAGCTTGAGGCCAACCTGGGCTACAAAGTGAATTAAGGCCAGCCTGAACTGCATAATAAGACTCTGTCTCAAAAAGCCAAAAAAAAAAAAAAAAAAAGATGGGTTGAGAATTTTCCAAATCATCAAATCTTGTTCATTTTTGCTTAGCAGTTCTTCCCTTAGTTTATTTCTTACCTCTTGTGTTTTACATGAAGATCCAGAGAATCCCAGCCTGTCAACACTTTGCTTGGAGATCTCCTCACTTAAAATTTCAGTTTCTTCATTTACAAATTGTGCTTTCTGCATTACTGTAGAACATGGTTCTGATAAGGTTTCTACCACTTTCCTTCATTTGTCAATAACATGTTCTCCATTTCCTTCTGAGACTTCATTTGTAATGCTTTTAACATCCATATTTCTAACAGGCTGTTTACAATGATTTAGGCTTTCTCTGAAACAATTCGTGTTATTTATGCCGTATTTCTCTATTTCATTCCAAGTCTTCACCAGTGAAATATTTGACATCTACATTTCTATTAATAGTCTGTTAAATTTCATCTTTCAACTGTCAGTTGAAAAACTTCAACTTTTTTTTGTCTTTTTGAGACAGTCTCACTGGCAATTTAAGCTGGTCTTGAACTCACTTTTAGCCCTGGATGACCTCAAACTTGTGGTGATCCTCCTGCCTCAGCCTCCTGAGTGCTGGTATTACAGGCATTTACCACCATGCCTGGCTCTTCAACTTTCAAATAAAAATTTAATTCCATGTTTATTGATAGGAGGCTTCCATAATAGATCCGTTCTATGTATTTCAAGTTTCTTTTAAGCTATATTTTACATTACTTTATTTGTGATTGAAAGCTCAATGTTCTTTAAAAGACTGTTAACATAACCATAGTTCTAAAAGCTCCTGCAGTGTTTAGTTGTTTTTTCTGGTTTGAGTGTTTTAGTACTGGGGTTGAATCCAGGGCCATGCACATTCTAGGCAAGGGCTCCATCACTGAACCACATCCCCAGTCTTATCAAAAGGCATTTCTAGAGTATTCCACATATTCTTTTTATCCACATTTTTTGGTAAATCATAGTCATGTAGATATCTGAATGTTGAATAATTGTTGTCTAGGTAAGGAGATACGGTCCCTGTGCTTCCTAGTCTAACACCTTTCCAGAAGCCCATGGAATCCTCTTCTTTTTGAGGAAGTTTAAGTAGACTTTTAAGGGGAAACAAAGAATTTTTCTAAGTCTGTAACTTGAGAGAAGGATAAACATAGAAATAGAAATGTTGGTAGGTAAGGGGGAACTAAGAATTTATAAGAAAACTCATGATTATTTTAACCTCTGTATAGTGAAGATCTAATATGAGTATTTTGAAAGTGGGAAAGAGATTATCTTATGATGATAAGTGGTCTTCAGAATTCTTGAAGAATGATCCAGAAGGTGAGATTTTTAAAAATTCTACATTCTTCTCGACATGGTGACACATACCTTGTAGGTACTCCTACAAGCCTGAAACAAAAGCATCACAAGTTTGAGACCAGCCTGTGCAACTTAGCAATGCCCTAAGTCAAAATAAAATTTAAAACAGAGCTTGAAATGTAGCTCAGCAGCAAAGGACTGGCCTAGTATATGTGAGGCCCTAGATTCAATTTCTAGTACTGCAAAAATAAAATCTAGGTATTAAATTCAGTATTTAGGTATGTATAGATCTGCATTGGTAGTAATCCTGGGATGTAGAATTAAATATGAACTACTAATTACAAAGTTATCAATTTTTGTAAAAAAAGAAAGTTAGCAGATTAAAAAGTAAACTCAGGTTTTAACTTTTAATATTATATTTGTTGTTGACCCTGAACCTACTGTTGTGTGTTTGAGAAGAGAGGTAAGAGATAATCCAAGAGCCATAACTCAGATATAGCCTCCCATAATAACTATTGTCTTAGTTATTTTCTCATTGCTGGGACAAAATACCTGACACTCACAAGTTGAAAGAGGCAGGGTTTATGGGGCTGGGGATTTAGCTCAGTGGCATAAGCGCCTGCCTTGCAAGTGTGTGGTCATGAGTTCAATCCCTGGTGTCGATAAAAAAAGGAAAAGACAAAAAAAAAGAGGCAAGGTTTATTTTAGCTCACAGTTTGTAGAGGTTTCACTCCACAGTTGGCTAGCTGCAAAGCAGGGTAGCATGACGGGGAGAAACAATCCATAGAATGGCAGACAAGAAGGCAGTAAGCCTGTCTTGTTTCTGTCCCTTTATATTCCATCTGGGCTACAAGCCTATTGATTGGTGCCACTCACACCTAGGATGGGTCTTCCCACTTCAGTAAATCCATTTAACCACACTCACACACACACAAACACACAAACCTATCCTAATCCAATTAAAGGACTAATCCAGATATCATACACCCTAGATCTAACCACCTCTAAAAAGCCCCACTTATGAATGCATGAATCTTTGGGCAAGGACACCTAGATAGAAGCCATAACATTTCACCCCTGACCTCCAATAGACTCATGTGCATCCCTTTATGGAAAATGCATTTACCCCATCGCCAAGAGTTGCCAAAGTCTTACGTCCAAATTCTCCATCTGAGATTTAAGGCAAACTCTTACCTGCAAACCTCTGTAAAGATGAAAAGAAAATTAAGCATTTCCAACATACAATTGGCACAAGATAAATATTACTATTCCAAATAGGGAGAATAGAAAGGAATGAAATTGAAACAAGACTAAAATGCAGCAGGGTGAAAAATAAACCCTGTAGTTCCATGTCCAGTACCTGGGGCAATCAGTAGCAAGGTGTGAACTCCAAAGGGCTTGGGTGACTCCACCCCTGTGGCACTGCTAGTGGTTTTAGTTCTTACGTCTTTCTTCTGGCCTGGCTTTGCTCACTCTTTGTGGCTTTCTTCAGATAATTCACATTCCCGGCTTCATCTTTCTGGAATCTCCACTGCATCTTCAGCTTCACACTAACAGCTTCACACACTGCTCTTTTGGGTGCACTGGCTGGCCTCCCAGGCATTCTTCTAACATCTGAGTGGAAACGTTCCTAGCCCCGCAACTCTTGCACTCTACATGTTCCTAAAGCCAGTACTCATCATATGGATGACGCCAAGGTCTGCTGCCAGCTGTAGCTGTAGCCAGGTTTCTTTCTGTCTTGGCTATAGGCATTGAGTGCCTGGATTGCTGAGCACTATGAACCCAATCCTGAGAAATTTTCTAGTCCATCACCATTCTGGAACAGAGTACTCAAGGAGTCTCTTCTCAAAGCAAAGTCTTTCACTTTTGAAATTTTGAAGGTGCAAAGAGTAGAGTCCTATTGGTTCTTGTGATACCTTCAGGCCATCTTTTCTATTGTCATCTTTCAAAATACTTGGTTTTTTACTACTAGTCTTTTTCAGCAACCAAGTTCTGCTCTGTTTTGTCTTTGCAGGCCACAATTTTGCTGGAGTTTTCTTTCTAGCCAAACTCAAATCTTTCTGCTAAACCCTTTGCTTTTTATTCTCAATACAGATCTGGCTTAGAGCTTCCAACTGTAGCCATGCCACCTTAACATTAGACTGCCTTGAAATTTCTTCTGCCAGATTAGTCTACTGTTCCTTATTCATGGTCTCCTTTGGTTTCTCCATACATCAGTAAAATGTAGACATATTTTTCTGGCAGCAAAATATGGTATAGAATCCAATTGCCTGTGGAGTCCTTCTTCCCAACAGAAAGCTTCTGAGGCTGGTCTTTACCAGAAGCACTTCTATCAACATTTTGGTCTTCTGAGCTCTGACTAGAATCAAGTTCTGCTTACAGCATTTCCATGCTGCTTCTTCAGCAAGCATCTCTAAACCTTTCCAAACTCCACAAGCCAATTCCAAGGTTTCTGAACTACATAGTCAGGTAGTGTTACAAACATAACTCTATTTCTCTTAATCCAAATTTGTCTTAGTTACTTTTTATTTTCTGGAGAAAATACTCAACACTCACAGGTTGGAAGAAAAGCATATTTTAGCTCATGTTTGTAGAGGTTTTACTCCATAGTCAGCCTGGCCCAAGGCAGGGTAGCATGGCAGAGGCTAAATCATCCATAGCATGGCAGACAGGAAGGCAGCAAGCCTGTCTTTCTTCTGTCCCTTTACATTCCACTCAGCTATAAGCCTACTGATTGGTGCCACCCACATTTAGGATGGAGTTTGTCTCTTCACTAAATCCATTTGACCATACCCAGAACTATGCCATCCAGTTAAAGGACTAATCTTTAATGCATGTTCACCTTTAATCCATGTTCACACACCCTAGATCCAGCCACCTTTTGAAAAGACCCACCTGTGAGTGTATGAGGCTCTGATTCAAGCTAGAATAGCTAGGTGGTAGAATGTTGAAGGTTTTTTTTCACCATTAGTGTTGTTACTACTGTGATCACCATTTGGATGCAGAAGCTATAGATATGTTAAAGTTAATACTTCAGTGATTTATAGTAAAGTGCAGTATTTGAACATCTGAGTTTTGACTGGGTTATGAATCATTTACCTGTCATCTGACAAATAACTTACTATCAACTTATCAGAATTTGCCTACATCCTATCTCTGCAAAGCGGTCTTCTGTTGCAGTCTCTAAGGTTAACTTACCTATTCCATGATTCTATAACCCCTCAAATTTTGTAGAACTCTACGTTTTAGGCCTCATATCCATTTTATCTTTTGAATTAAAGTAGTTACTCAACAGTATGATTTTAGTATGATACATAGTTTTCAAATTCAGTGGGCTGCCATCTTACCTTCTTAATGTTTGTTCCAAACTAAGCTGAATACTATAAATTATTGCTTTCTATTAAATGAGAGCTTCTTAAAAATGGAAAAAAATTAATAGTGCTGAACTTTGACATTTGTCTTACATTTTCTTTCAGATTAACAATAACTGCCCTTGCTCAGAAGCTCAATGCTTATTGGAAGGAAAAGACATCACAAGTGAAGTTTGAAACTTCAACTGTAACCAAGTCAGTACCATAAGTAATAAAATTCATTATATGTAAAAGTATTAGGGGTAATATCCGTAGAACAAATGGAATGAACAATGGTGAAAGGTGGTTTTTACACCAGAAAGTTTATCCAAAAATGAGAAAGCACGGGTACTAATTGCATCATTTTCTTTCTTACCTTCTTCATTCTGGCTTAACACTTGTACAGTTTGGATCATAAATGTGAAGAATTTGGTACTGTTAGTTTAGTAGTGGCAGTATAATATAATGGAAGATGATGATCATTTACATCAGACATTCCTGACTTGAAAAGTCAAGATCTGCTTCTTAATAGTTAGATGGACTTGGATAAATAATTTACCTCACTTCTTTAAAGTATATTGAATTAGGTGGCATCACACTTTTAGCACAGTTCCTGGCAGAGTAGCTGTTTAGACATGTTAGCAAATTTTCCTTTTATTCCTAATGAATATTGTTGGGAATGAACTAGTATTTCAGAGTAGAAATATAGAACATGGCATATGAGAGAAAATGTAGAATTTGCGTCTAAAATAGGGAATTATATACCAAATAGGATGAAATACATTAATAAGTGAGCAAAGTAGTATAATACAGAGGACAGAGTGGATATCAACACATATACTGTTATGTCACTTTCAGTATAGAGATTAGAGTGTTGAAAGTTCATTTGGGAGAAGGAAGGGAAAGTAGTGAAAGGGGAAGTAAAAATGATCATGATGTGATAGGCATATCTACCATTTCTCCATGGTGAATGTATTTATTATGAATTGTAAACATACACTAATGATTAAATAAATAGAAATGGAAATCACCACCTATATATTTATTTTCTCCTTATTCTAAGGATGTCAATTTATGTTCCTCCTCCATGGCTTTTAAAGAAATGCAAGTTAAGATGAGACACCATTTTATCTTTCAAGTTAGCACTGTTTAATGCAGTTAAACAGATATTAGTATATTACTAGAGAGTGTATGTATTAGAGGCAGAATTGTAATTCTGATATGTATTTCTGAGTAATTAATTGATAGATATTATTCTAAGTTCTTTACATGTCATTTATTTAATCTTCACGATAAGTCTGAGATAGATTATTATTTCTTTACAGTTGTAGAAACCAATACACAGAGAATTTAAATAACTTCCTCAAGGTTAGCAAGTAGAAAGTGATAGAACCAAGGTTCAAATATAAGCAGTCAGGCCCCTAAACAAAGGTTCTGAACCACCAAATTTTTGTGGAAAATAGAGTATGCAGTATGACTTCCCCAACTTCTATTTAATACAAACATGAGCTAAAAGCCTCTCCTTCTTGCCTGGAGTGAAGCGTCACCATGTTCCACATGTAATCCAAAGCAGAGAGTTACTGTCACTAAATAGGCCTGTCCCTCAAAGAACAATATTTACATCTTTCTACAAGAGACTTTCCCATAACCATGCAGTAGAACCAAAGCTGATATAACACTCCATGTCCTAAACTTTTTGCTGACTCTGGCTCTCAATGAAACGGCAGCTGTGTGAAAATATACATAGACATCAGAGGCCTAAACTACATAGAGAGACCCTGTCTCAAACTAAAAAAGAATTTTACGAAAGAAAAAGACATTATGTTTGAGTGGTAAAGGAGTTATTAGTGTTTTCTATATTTTCTAGTTTTTGCAATTGACCTGCTATCACTTTTATAACCAGAAAAAAGAATCACTTAAAATGATAAGAAAATTGCTAAACTAGGCTTAAAAGAACCATACCACTCTGGGGGAATATCTATAAAAGCAGTGTAAGTGTAACATACGCGGAATTTACTGGACTGGTGAAATTAACATGAAGTGCCTCTCTTCCTTCTTTATATCTTTTCTATAGCCTTCCTTCTTCTTGCTCCATCCTACCTTTTCACACCATAGGTACTGACTTTGTCTATCATATATAAGCCAGTTCTTTTCATAGAGAAACAGATTCACTTTAAGATGTAGGTATCTGGTGTCCAGTTCCAGCTGTGAATGGGATTATGAATTTTAAGAATCGAGCTCTGGAAGACTATTTTAATAATATAACACAATTGTTGGTTTGGTGCCACCAATTCTGGATATGAAATTTAATAAAATGTTTAGTGCTTTTAAAAGTTAAGTTTGAAAAATATCAACCTAATAAATTTTTGATTGAAGCACTTGAAATTAATTGTTTATTTTGAAATATAAGTGAGAACAGGGGGCATCTGCAGGGAAATGGCAGATGTTTTCATTGACTTCATTGGTTCGTTGACTCTTCTAAATGCATTTTAAGTCTTGTTATATGACTAAACAGAAGCAACTAAAATGAGACTATGGATTTTATTTCTTGGTAATAATATATAAAATGATTTTCTCAAGTTAATTTTTAATTAATTAATTAATTATTTGTCTTTTTGAGACAGGGTCTTACTATGCAGTTTGGGCTGGCCTTGAAGTCACTTTGTAGCTCAGGCTGGTCTCGAACTTGCAATGATCTTCTTGCCTCAGCCTCCTGAGTGTTGGTCAAGTTAATTTTTAGAGTTAAAATTATTTATTGATTTTTTTTTTGTCTTTTTCCTTTTTATCGGTACCGGGGATCGAACTCACGACTGCCTGCTTCCAAGGCAGGTGCTTATGCCACTGAGCTAAACCTCCAGCCCTATTTATTGATTTCTTAAAACAAGAGATTTCAGGATAACTACTATTACACTCCATAAGTAATGATAATCTTATCATGTTAATATGTACTTGTTATTTTTCATATCAATATCTGATATATTTCCATCATTTTTATCTATGAAGCTCAAAATATACACATTTAGACATCTAAACTATAGTATTTGTAACACATTTTATATATAAAATTAGGATTTTCACTTGATTGTGCCTTTTTTTTATTGTGCCTTTCTAATATAAAACAAAGCACAGAACTAGGGGATACATAGTTACACTTCTGTTTTTGTCATTCAGGAAGATTCCTGATCAGACATGGGTACAATGTGATGAATGTCTAAAATGGAGGAAGCTTCCTGGCAAAGTAGATCCATCTACATTACCTGCAAGATGGTTTTGTTACTATAATTCCCATCCAAAATACAGGTAAGGTTCCGGGACTCAGTATTATTCCTGAGATTACACCTGATTTATCTTTATCTTTTAAAACACTTGATCTCAAGTCTGCGTTCTTTGGCCTGTCATTCAAGCCTGTATGCTAACTGGACTCACCTGAACCTATCCAGCCTTATTTTCGTTAGATCTTAATACAAACTTTGCATTTGAGCCAGTGCTATGGCTTCACTGTTCCCCATACAAGTCATGCTTGCTCTTTGTTCTGTGACTTTAAGTTATTTTTCTTGTTCGCAGTGAACTTGTACATTCCATCTGCCTGTCCAAATCATCTCTACTTAAGGAGCTAACCTCTTGTATAGCATTTTTTTCTATTGACAGTAGTTGGTGGTGATTTTACTGTGATTTCCCTGTGATATTTCATTCTTGATATTTTTTCACATTTAGTTTTATATTTTTGGATGTTTTTCATATGCATATGATTTGGCTCTTCAGGAAATTTTAAATTCTTTGAAAACAAGGTCTTTATATTCCAGATTGAGTTGATGATTTTTGTATACCTTCTATATGAAATCAATGTTAACAGTACCTATTTTATATTCAGTACTATCTGTTTACATGTTTGTCTTCCTGATTCACCCTATGTTGCTTGCTACATCTGACAACTAAATAGCATTTGGCATATTTATGAGCATTAGCTTCAATGTAATCATCATTTTATTTGACTCAGTAATCACATGTGTTCATAACAAGTCAGTTTGCTTCAATCCAGCTGTGACTATATTAAAATTCTTCTTTTTCCTGCAGGACAAAAAATCCCAATAGAAAAGTGTTAACCAAAAAAAAAAAAAAGGAAAGAAATAAAAGAAAAAGGGTGCTCCAACAGAGTATACTTTTTTAGATAAAAAGTCTAAAATGGAAGAAGTTAACCAAATGAAATGTGGCTGTGTAATGTTAAGCATTCCAGATATGCCTAAGCACCTTTCATTAGAGGATAAATGAGATTGTGTGATTAGAATATGAGACAGATTATTTAAGTTTCATTTTTCAATTGTTTAAGTTTTATCTGATTATACTTTGTTCAAGAGACAGCCTTCTAGGCTGCTTTACTTCCTTAAAGTGAATATAACATCGATTCTAATTTTTTTTTTTTTTTGGTCTTTTTCGTTTTTATCAGTACCAGGGATCGAACTCCCAACTGCCTGCTTGCAAGGCAGGCGCTTATGCTGCTCAGCTAAATCCCCAGCCCCGGTTCTAATTATTACTAAGTTTTTTTTTTGTTTGTTTGATTTTGAGATTACTTTTGACTATTGAATAAATTTTCAGTACTCTTTTGGTTTTTACTCCTAAAATTCTCTTCTTCATGGTTTATACTGTGTTATAAAGGTTTTATACTGTGAATGGGTTCTGCATTCTATACTGTTAGAGAGTTGTTAAAACTATCCTTTCATAGTCATAAGGAAAATAAAGTATAAAAGTAAAGAACATATTTTTCTTCCGAAAGATGATTTCTTATCTATACTGTAGGAGATGCTCTGTTCCAGAAGAACAAGAACCTGTTGATGACGATCTGTACTTGAGCAAAGCTAAGAAACAGTTAAGTATATATGAAATGGTGTTCTATATCATACAGTAAAGGAGCCTAACGCCTTGTTATAAGACAGGAGTTTTGGGAACACAGATAATTTGAGAAGTTTCTGGTGATTTCTCACCTCACTCTGCTAATTCTTTATTCTTTTTGGCCATTCTGAATGTTTTCTCTCTGTCTCTCTCATCTCTGCCTCTCAGTCTCTCAGTCTCTGTCTGTCTCTCTGTCTGTCTCTCTCTGTCTCTCTCTCTGTCTCTCTCTCTGTCTCTCTCTGTCTCTGTCTCTCTCTCTCTCTCTCTCTCTCTCTCTCTCTCTCTCTCTCTGGCTCCCCTCACCCCTTTTCATTCTGGCATAGGAGTAACATTTGGAAATTCTCTTCAATAGCATAGTTCAGGAAGGCAGTCTTAGTTACTCAATGAGGCTCACACTATTTCTACTTTCGAATGAACATTATAACCTAGAAGTACAATTGATAATCTGTTTCAACCTGAGATGTTTCATGAGTGAACTCAATAGCACTTTTATCCTCTAGAGATCAAACTATTGAAAAGAAGATACCTATGGAAAATGAGACCTATCAGGTAAGAGACAATCTTTTTCTTTCATTTCTCACCTGAAATTTTCCACAATGGAAGACACAGGTTGAAGGAAACAGCAATCTTAAAAGCTTCATAGAAATTACAAACCATTTCTTCTTGTGGTCTTTTCTTTGTATTGGATTTTTGAGTTGTGTTGATCTGCTGCTGTTATTGATGTTCAGATCACTTAAAATAGAAGACTCAAATCATTTGTTTCCCAGATTTGGATTCCATACTGAATTTAGGCCATGTAAATGTGATATTCAGAGTCACAGAACATCTACAATTGCCTTCCATTCTCATACAGGATGTTCCTGTTGAGTGTCTGGTTTTCTTGTCTCCTTTCTTCCAGGATTCGGGGATGATTCCTTTCTCTTTTCTCTCGGGAAGAATGGTTGGTTCTTTGTGCCCCTTCCTGATCCCTGCTTTCAGGCTGGCTGGCTTTATAAAAACTCTGCTGTTTTAAATTTTCAGGAGCACTATCTCCCGGACATTGTTGCCCAGCTCCGGACGCTGAAGGGTGCAATAAGGTTGGCCGTCCTGTTAGGGACACTTCTCTCCTGACAGCCACCATAGCACCCACATACTTCCCTACTCAACCTTGCCTTTCTGCATGACTTCCCTTTTGACCCTCTTTCCAGGAAAGATCTGCTAGTCGAATGTTAGATTTACATTCCCCCCACTCAGTCAGGGTTGGTCAGACTGGTGAGGATAGAGGTAATATAATACTAATTCTTCTTCTGATATCCTGCCAAAACCCAGGCATATGAGCAATAAAGGTTCTCTGATGTCTTAGCTTAATGCTCTGATGTAGAGACCGAAAGATCAGTTAGGAGTGCCCTGTCCTCATTCAGTTTACCTCCCTTCATATTTCTTCACCTTACTTACTCATATTATCTTCATAAGCTGGCTCTCCCACAAGATCCCAGATGCATGTTTCTGTGTGTGTGCACTATGAATATATGTTGTCTCTTGCATGCATTTCTCCCAACCCAGCGCAGACACTTGCTGCATTGCTTTTTCCCTCTATGCCTGCTCTTAACACAGATCTTAGAATGAAATCCTAGCCTTTCACTGGGTCAAAAGAGAGAAACATACAGTGATAGGGAGCGTAGGTGTATGTTGTGATGGGATAGCTCCAGGAGCCAGTAAGTGAGTTGGGGGACATCTATTGGTGTCTAGTGGATAAAGTTAATAACTGAATGTGCCTGCGTTCAGTGTTCTAGTGTACATTATTGTACACTATTTGTTTGTGTGTAAGAAATAGTTTATTTTTATTTGGCCAAGCATTCTTTCCTAGCATCAGAAGGATTGACTCAACCTTTGGTATTTTGTTTGAATTCAGGATTTTTATGAATCATTTCTTTCTTTGCTAGGTATTTGGTAATCTACCAAAGATTCCTATGGTTCAAGAAATGGCTGAACTGAATGACAAGACAATTGGACATAAAGGGATGGATACACCTAACTTGCTTCCGTATGTTGGAGAAGAATACCAATCACCTTCTCTCCAAGTTAAACGTCTGGATTCCAGTGTTTTTCAGTTTTCCAGGTGACTAAAAAAGTATAGTTAATGTATTATTGATAGTAGGACTCGGGGTCTGTTTTCCTGTTCAGTAAGCTGGTATGTCTTACTGTGTTTATGTTTTTCCAAAGGCCTAGCATGGAATTCATAAGGAGAAAAACACTTTTGGGTCAATAGAATTGTGTTGTATGTACTCTAAAATTTTCCACATACAATGGCTATGTCAAGTCTATGTATTTTGAGGTGATCATTTCCTGAGACTCTTCTATGTGTTTTGGATTCACATTATGTTGGGAATTGTACAAGTGAAATGAGTATGAAAAACAAAGTGCTATTAAATAAGATAATGTTATATAGATGAGCATTGGTCATTTCCTTCAGTTCGTGGATATTGAATCTTTTGGGGCTTCAAATGCTTAATAAATGTTGGCTGCATATGAATATAACTATTCAAAAGCTATGCTGTTAGGTTAGCTTTATATTGTTCATTACTTCCTAGAGTAAATCATTAGTAAAATTTCATCTTGGGTTATATTTATTCATTTTCTAGCACTTCATCAGTGTCATTTTGTTAGTTCTTATAACAGGAAGGTACATAACTATTCATTTTCCTAAACACTGTATGAGGAGTATTTGAAGCACTGAAAGATGATGTCCATGAAAATCGACTCATTACACCTAATTATGATTGCTTAGTTTCTCTTGTTTTTCTCACTCTTGCACAACAAGCTGTAGAGCAAGCACAGAATTACTCTCTAAAAGTCAAAACTTATACAGTCATCAGTACTATGATTTTATAGTGGATGTGAACTTGGCAGTGACTCTTTTCAGTTTGAGTGTCTTAATATACTGTAGGATAGAAGCAATAGAATATATCATAGGATAAAATGAATCCTGATTTTTCTTTGCCCCTAGTGTTACTGATTCCTTTCCCCTTTGTTGCTTCTTAGGTGGAACTTTTCAGCCTCTCATCTAGATAAACATCTGCACAGGTGTGCAAGTCCCCTATTCATTGATTCTTCTACAATTAAACTTTGTAGATAAAGGAGGAACCTCAAGACCCCTTGAACATGAACAGTCTCAAGAGGAAATAAGATTTTGGAGCAAAACTGATAAAACTCTTAAAAGAGTCAAATGAGAATTTATATGAAAGCATCTAGATCAGTGTCTTGGAATATAGTAGGTACTAAATAAGGAATGGTTAAATCTGTCATTGAAGAAACAATTTCTTTCTTTTGTTTTTTGTTTGTTTGTTTGTTTTTGTTTTTTGAGACAGTATCTTGTGTAGTACAGGTTGGCCTTGGACTCACTGTGTAGCCCAGATTGGCCTTGCAGTGATCCTCTTGCCTCAGCTTCCTGTATGCTGGAATTGTAGGAGTACATCACCATGCCTTTTTCTAAAAAATTGAATTTTTTAGGAAAAAGGTAAAAAGTATATAGTACATCCTTAGTCTCAGAAGGTTGAGCCTAATTTTGGCCTATACCAATCAATACTCTTTAAATTCTCATGGGGTGTACAATAAGTACTCTTTATTTTGAAACACATTGTTCCTTCAGTACCTTGGTCCTCTGAAAATATTTGTATCATTGGTTTTGATTCTTTCTCTGCTGTGACGACTTTTCCTTTTCTCATTATTTCGTTTGTAACTCTGTAGTGGACTTTGGTAACCTTATCAGGATTACAAATGCTAATTTTCACATTTTATTATGCATTTGATGGGTGCAGTACTGCAGTACATCCATTGGGTGGCATACTTCATCAGTCTTTGTTGGGATTTTTGTATGAGTGTATGGAACCCTATTCGAGTGAGGTTCTGGCTGTAGAAGACAGGTAAAGTACTTTGACCATTCATGCGTAATTTTAATTTATTGAGAATAAGATTCTTTCTGAAAAAGATATGTGATAACTGGTGCTGCTCATATTATGCAAGGTATGAGTTGTATAAGGTTAGTAAAATAAGGACAGGGATATAACTCAATGGTACACTGCTTGCCTGGCAAGCATGATATCCTGAGTTCAGATCCTGGTATCAATAAAAGAAGTTAGTAAATAACAGTTGTGTTATTTTAAGATGCCTATATAAAGGGGTTCAAATTGATTAGAGAATTAGGTACTGTGATATGTGTCTATAGTTTCAGCTACTGGGAAAAGCCTGCCATTTAAGGAAAAAGGATGGAAGTACTCACAATTTAATAAAATATACAAATAAACCAGTGTTCTGATACCATATTCTGATAAACCAGTGTTAAGGAAATAATAGGCTTATCAAAAATTGCAAAGGTCTCCTTTGTTATCAAAAGCTAAAATTAAAGAGTCCTTGAGTCATATAGTTCAGATTACTAACTCTAGATACATAAAGCCTAAAGAGAACTTTAAGAAGTTGAATGGCTAGATTAAAAGGGTTTCCAGAGACATCATGAGAAATAACTTTAACAGTTTTCAAAATCTAATAAAAGGAAAAGACCTTCAATAAATAGGTTCAGCCAGAATGTAAGCTAGCATAACTTCTTAGGGGAAGACAGCTTATTTCTATTAAAGTAAATAACTCTTTTCTGTTCATTTATTTGCCTTAAAAGTTTAGTCAGAAAATTAGAGCACTTTCTGTATAAGAGGACTTCTTTTGGGTAATGAGAGGATCTAAGATGAAGGAACTTAGAACAGTCAGTTTTATATGTAAATATAAACAGTTCTAAGGGCATACAACAAATATAAAAATATTAATTCATGAAATCTACTAAAGTAATAAAAAAGCAAGAGTAAATAGCATTTAAACTGATTTACTTCTATCATTTTCCAAACTCTGGTTTGCATAAAGTACTTAAAGGAGCACTAATTCAAGTACTGGGGTGTGATCAAGAAGATGAGGGCTCCTTCTTCCCTTTGTTCCCTGTCTAGAGTTATGATTTCCCCTAAAAGGGACATACCACTGATTTTTTTCATCTTCCCCAGATCTGTTTTGTACAAGTTTTATTACCGGTAAACCCAAAAGTGACTTGAGTATCTCTTCTTCTATTTGATTTTCTTTTCTTCCCCTCAGCCCCCAATTGCAAGATAGAGGCATTCACTCAGGTACAGAAAATCAGTAATACTAGGCCACCCTTGCTCTACCCCAAACTTGTGCATATATGAGAAGTTCATAAAGGAAAAAGAAAACCCCAAAATCACCCTAGCACCAATTCATGAAATGTGATTTCACTCTAGAAGTAGGGCACTCTTTCTGCCTCCATTTCTTGCAGTATTACAGAGTTTCTTAAAAAGGCAGGCCTCAAGGATGAAGCTTTATCTGAATAAAACTGGCTTTATGTAGAACAGAAAATGGAGAATCTTGTGCCTAAAGGCATTGTCAAAAATAAGAGATCATGACAAAGGTTAACTAAGAAGCACTCATAACTCCTTGATACTGCAAAATGACCACATAATAACAAATTTGGTAATAGAATTAGGGAAAGACAGTAAAAAAGACCCCCTCCTGTGATGTAAGTCAATCCTGGGTGTCAGGAAGGCTGTGCATAAGCACAAATCAGCACCCACTAAAGAGTAATTAGAGCAGGATGTAAGGTAGACTCAAAAGTAGGAGCCTGGCTACTCACAAATCAAACAACAGGGCAAGAACCTCATTGTCATAGGGGCTTGAGCGCTACCACTGACCAACCGCTGGCTAAATAATACATTGATCCAGGGGCTATCCTGGGAAAACAAGCAAAAAGTAAAATCACACTCCTGCCTGAGAAACTGTAAGATAGTGTACATGCTCAAGGCTGTGATTTGTCTCAGTAACTAAAGAGGGAAAATCTAAGCTATTAGTATCTGGATGAATGTAGCACAGAAACATAAACTCTTTGAATTTTGATAGCCTCCAACCTATACACATTTCCAGTAATAAAGGATAACAATCCATCTGACTAAAGGAGCTTAAGCACAGCCTTTGGCCAACAAGTGGCTTATATTGAACCAGGGATGAACCCCAGGTTCCCAGGCAAAATAATAAAATCAGTTAAAAAAAGAAAAGAAAACATAAGCAAAAACCTCAGAAGCTGAATTCATATTAAAAAACAAAAGTAATTATAATGGACATTGTAATGGCATATTTCTTCCTCTTTCCATTATTAACCAATTTCAAGAAAAATTACATAAAACATATATATTTGTATGTAACTATGTATATCACTTTTGTTGGACTTATATACAAATATAAAATAGTTGACAGTAACAGAACAAAGAGGGTAGATGGGAGCAAAATTGTCTTGGTAATAGAAAATGGTGAAGGAAATGGTAATAGATAGTGGCTCAGACCCACAGTCAAAAATGAGTAAAGCAAAAAAAAATAGTACAAAAGAGAAGGCAAGTAAAACAGACTATAAATATGTACTTACTGTGTTTTTGTCCTTTGGCTGATTCAAAAGGTATAATATTGTATGAAATAATTATAGCAATAAATTTTAGATTTGTAAATGTTATACTAGAAAATGTCCACAAAAGATAAAGAGTAGTAAAAGGACAAAACAACAAACAATGTATGACTCACAATAGAAAAGAAAAAAATTAATAAGATAGAAATTCTAGCAGATAAGTAATAACATTAAACTTGACTACAACATATGTAAATGATCAATTCACAAATGAAACTATGCTCAACATCACTAGCCTTCAAAGAATTGCAAATCAAAACCAGAATGAGCTGCTACTCCACACCCACCAAGATGACTATAATTTTTTTTTTTTTTTTTTTTTGAGTCAGAGTTGTGCTATGCAGTTCGGATTGGCCTTTGGCTCACTTTGCAGCCCATACTGGTCTCAAACTCACAATTCTTCTGCTTTAGCCTCCTGAGTGCTGGGGTGTACCACCACGCCTGGCATGGCTATAATTTTTAAAATGACCAAGAGCAAGTGTTAGTGAGATTGTGGCAAAATTGCAGCTGTCATATATTGATGTTATAAATGTAAAATATTGCAGTTACTTTGGGAATGACTCTGGGATTTCACCAAAGTGGTAAAAATAGAGTTACTATGAAACCCCATAATTCCA